ATCGTACGGTGTCGAATAATTTGGTGTCGAATAAATCTGTGTCGAATCGAGCGGTGTCGAATCGTACTGTGGTCAATAGAGTATCACCCCCTTTTTTCTGGCTAATTGGGTGGTTGGAAAAGAAAGTAAGGTATCTGCCAGAAAAAGTCGGCTTGTGATATCAGTCATGTATTAAGAAATTATTTCTCTTAATTATAGTGATGTCCAGAAAATTTAGTTTAATTATATTTTTAGTTTAGTTATAATCCATCTCCATGGTAAATTGAAGACAAAGATGGTAGGAGTTAAAGAGACGAAGAACTAAGTCAAACATGTCTCCAGGAACCATCAGAGCTATATCGTCAACATATCAAACATAAAAAGGAGGTTGAAAAGGCAATGAATTGATGATGTTCTGTTCGAGGTCTTGCATAACGATATCGGCTAAGATGGGGGAGAAAGGTGAGCCCATCGGTGCGCCAAAAGTTTGTCTATAAAATTTGTTGTTGAAAATAAAAAAAAGTAGAATTATATACAACTTTGATAGCCGTAAAAAATTTTTCTTTAAGGATGTTTCTTGATTTATAAGATGCCATCTTGTCTCCAAACCATTGATTACTAAGTTGAGTGGGATGTTTGAAAACAAAGATATGACATCAAGAGAAATTAACTCAAAGGAGTGCTCAAAATTCACAGAAGAGATTATTTTTGAAAGGTAAAAGCTGTTGAACACGAAACTTTCAGGAGGATAAATACTCTTAGAAATGATCTTGTGTAAAAACAATGCAAGGTTATCTCATCGTTAAACTCATTCTTACCAATTCTCCCTAGAGCTTACGGTGTTCCAAAGATCCGTAAATCCGGTAATCCACTCAGAATAATTATTTCTTCAATCAACAGTCCTTTACATAACCTTGAGAGAAGAGATTTTATTAATCTTTAAGTTATCTATTTACTGTAAATAAATAACTTAAAACCTAACCTAACTTAAAGATTAATAAAAGTTAAACCAAGTATTTCAGATACTAAATTGTAATTTCTATATTATTGTATTTCTATATTATATTCTCTTATAGAGAATATAATTTCTATATTATATTCTCTTATAGAGAATTTCTTTCTATATTATATTCTCTTATAGAGAATATCTATTACTATATTATATTCTCTTATAGAGAATATAATATAGTAAATAGATAACTTAAAGGTTAATAAAAGTTAAACCAAGTATTTCAGATACTAAATTGTAATTTCTATATAAAATTATAAAAGTAAATGCCGAAAGTTTGTTTGCAGAAGCTGTATCTATTACTTGCAGCAGGTATATTGTCTTAAATATGTCTCATACACTGCATGAGAGGTTTTCACTGCACAATTAATTAACTTATAAATATATAACTTTGAGAATGTGTAAACACACACACACACACACACACACACACACACACACACACATATGAATGCAACTTCAAAAACAATTTATATACTTTCTCTATT